GCTACTGCTGCTACCACTACCACTACGACTACGACTACGACTGCGACTGCACTACTGCACAACTACTATACTACCTCTGCTGCTGGCTACTACTACTACTACTACTACTACTACTACTACTACTACGACTACTACGACTACTACTACTACTACTACTACTACTACTACTACTACTACTACTTACGACGACGACGACGACGACGACGACGAAGACGACGACGACGACGACGACGACGACTTCTGCTACTACTGCCCTGCTCCTGCTCCGGCTCCCGCTCCTGCTCCTAGCAGTAGCAGCAGGAGCAGGAGCAGGAGGACTGCTGCTACTGCTGAAACGGGGGTTGTGGCTGTAGTGGCAGCAATGGTGGTCGTGCCAGTGGTCCGCCAACAACAGGCGCAAAAGAAGCCTTAGCAGGAGCAGCAGCTGTAGCATCGGAGTAAGTCTGAGTGCCAAAAAGCCGGAGCATGATAGCAGTCGGGGGCGAGCATGAATAGTAGTTACCACGGTGTCAGAGTTAAAGATTCCAGTAGTCAAGGTGAAGGTGGTAGCCGAAGCAGGCATAGCACAAGCAGCAATCGAAACGCAACAACCAATAGCAATACCAGGACCTCCTCGAAGGGGAAGACCACGTCGAAGGAAACACAATAGTGCTTCCTAGCTCCAGCGCCGAAACCTAGATCCGCTCGTGATCGGGGCTTGGAGCGTCTGCACAGTTGATCGTTCTGCTCATGAGGAGCTGAAACTTTTGTCGGGGACAGCTACGTGCGAAAGAGGGTCGCAAGTCCCAAGAGTCAGCCGCTAAGTCCGGCTGAGTACTAGACCTCCACTTCCACTTTCAACATGGGCCCTTTGCAATGAAATCTCTCATGGGTCCGGCCGACTGCAAAACGGGCTCAACATTCCTCAGGCTTCCTTCCGTGAGATGAAATGAGAGAGAGAGAGAGAGAGAGAGATAGAGAGAGAGAGAGCTGTTCATGCAACCGGGAGGCCACAGGGGTAGTAGGCCACGTCGGTTCCTGCCAAAACAGTTGGTAAGGCTCTTCGAACTCTGCTCTTCCACAAGAGATGGCCTTCCCGGGACCAACCGACACCACAGTCTTCCATCCTCCTTGCGGTCAGGAAAAATGGGAGACAGCGAAGGCTGCTTGCATCGCTTTTCTGGAGCGGCTCCGGCGCGAGAAGAGAACAGGCTGGCAGCCATCGTCCTTCGAGAACAAGCAGACAGAAAGGAAAGTGGCAAAGACAGAATCTCGGTTCCCGGCAAAGAGACTTCCTGGCTTTACCAAATTCGTGAGGTGGAAGGTATAAGGCCTGCGAAGCTTCCAGCTTATAGCGATCTTGACATTCTGGTTTCTGCAACCCGAGTGCAGAGCACGTGGAGAAGCTTGGGGCTCGACATACCGACTCGCATATTTCTGACCCGGAAGCAGAACCTTACTTTCACAGAACAGCAAAAGCCGCTGTTGTGCGGGGGAGGTGCAGCCGCGAGGCCACTGTACATAGCCACCGCCAGCATCAGAGAGTAGCTGCACCTCAACATCACAAGGTGATGAAGCCTGTGCCATCATCCAAGCCACCGACAGCTACAGGTGGTATGGGGGTGCAGCCTGTCCTCACCACTACGCAGAACGAGTCACGGAATGAGAATGCCAATGCGTTTGGCGAGTTGTTCCGAAAACCAACTTTCCCATCAATCAAACTTCAAAAACCTTCGGCCCTCAACTCTTCGCAGAGGCCCGAGGCCCCGGATTTGACCGCTGGTCTTACATTCACTTTCAATCACCGCAGCCTCACCTCGTACTCCCTGGCCGTCATGCGCGTGACTGGGCCGAGGCCTGCCGGTACAGGCAAGAACATCCCAAAGCACTCAGTAGCGCAGTAGCTGTCAACAGTAAAACCTTTCCTGTCAAGCACGACCATAACACCAAGAACCGTCGTACAGATTCGGCGGCAGAGATGTGAAGATGCACGTTCGGAAAAAATGCTCACACATGACTTATCCAACCGAACCTGCTAGCGACCACGCTGATGATGATGATGATGACGATGATGATGACGATGACGATGTCGATGAAGATGAAGATGACGATGAGGATCATGATGATGGTGACGGTGATGGTTATGATCATCAAGAAGATGAATGGTGATGATGATGTTGATGATGATGATGATGATGATGATGATTGCTGTTGTTTCGGCTTGATTTTGATGAGATGAGGCGGCGGCTGCTGCTGGTCAGGGAGAAGAGCAGGAGAGGACTAGGAGGAGGGGGCGAAGATGATTAGGACAAGACTGGTGAGGATGATACATTCAATAGGGTGACGAGTGGTGAAGATGATGAGGAGGACGACCGCAATTATGATCATGAGGAAATTAACCTCTATCCGGTGCCGCTGGTGATGATACTGCTCCCGATGAAGATCATGACGCTGGTGATGATGCTGGTGATGGAAACGAGACGATGGCGATGATGGTGGTGGTGGTGGTGACGATGGTCCTGACGATGCTGATCGTGATGTTGCTGACGATGAACGCAGCAGATGACGGTGCTGACAACGATGGCTGTGGCGATGGGGTGGCGGCGGCCGGGGTGGTGATGAGCGTAATCGCGAGCATGAGGATCAACAAAGCTTTTGTGGAGTAGCGTACGCGCACCGGGGGCCCAACTTCCACATTCGAACTCGGCATCGAAAAGCAAGGCGGGGGCCTCCTGAGCTTCTTTGGGCTTCTCGCGCCGGACGAAGCAAGAGGTACTATGTCACTGTCCCGAAAACCATTCAACGCCTGAGTATGCCCGGCAAATCGACAGGTCCTCGACACCGAGCACCAAGGAGCCGATTCGTGGAGCTGCGGAGCGAATCTGAAGTTGCAGGGGCAGGGCTCGGCGGGAAGCTGCAGTAAGCCCTGTAAGACCGTGCAAACAAACTCACGGCCTGCGGCACCCAAAAAGCCTGGCAAAACGTCAAATTGCTCCCGGAGGCAGCCTTCCAGATCTCCAGTCGTCGGCGAAGTGCGGCAGCACCTACGGGAAAAACAGCGACCTAGGTAGCTAGATCGATAGTAAGTTTGTAGGTAAGTGAGGAATGTAGGCAGGTAGGTGGGAAGGTAGTGCCAGTGATACTACTAGTATGGCTGATCGTGCTGCTGCTGTCTGCTGTCGACTCGCAATTGCAACGGCGATCGTCGCTGCTGCGTTGGAGATCGGCAAGCCGACTGCAAGCACCTCCGTTTTCGCATGGAAATCGGGCCCACGAGTCGAACTCACTTCTGGAGGGACGTCTGATCAGCCCAGTTCAAGCGAGACAGGCGCTGCCGTGCCTCGCGCCTGATGGTTGCATGAGTGAAGCTCCGCATCTTTGCCAACTCTTGGTTTTGGTCGTGGACGCTAGCTCCGGCACGCTTCGCTACTTGGGGGCTCTCTCTGGGCTTCCGGAACGCTTCCAAGCAGGACCAACAGGAAATGTCCTGCCGGGGTACGGGCGCAATCTCCGTCACGACAGGCTCAACCTGTTCCTGGAGCACCAACTCGGACAAGCTTGGTAAGCCTTCCAAGATCTTCTGCTCATCTGAGAAGACTCTGGAATTTCGCATGGTCAGGGTGAGCTCCGCTTCATCCGTGTTGTGTTTCAGTGCGATGGAGGCCTCAGCTAGATTCTTCCGGGTCTCCTGCAAGATCTCCCGGGCCGAGATGTCCTCCTTGCTCGAGAGCACTCTCAGAAGACCATCCTGCTGGGAAGCATCAGGAAAGGTCACGTGGAAATTGGCGTAAAACGTGCTTCGAACTTCGAACACCCTGAAATGTTTCAGCCCTGGGAACCTCTGTTTGGGCTTCACGCAAGCGGTCGCTGCGTCGATCCAGCAAGGCCAAGGTCATCGCCAGGAGCCCCGCCATGTGGCTGCCCTCCAAGAGCTGAATGGATTGAACCAGGACTGAGAAGGGCAGCCAGAGACCGAAAAGCCCGAGCCAGGCTTGCGCAAGGTACAAGTTCAGATCAATCTTCAAGGCCAGGAGGTGCTGAAACCAAGGCCTCCCTTTTGCAAGCTCCTGCCCAAAGCACTACTTAGAGCTCTACGGGGTACTGGCAAGGTGCTCTATAGCTCTAAAGACTCTAACTCTAAAGCTCTCCAGGCTCTTGCTCCTCTCCTGGAAGCAGGCGCAGCCACTTTTCAGGAGCGGGAAGCCGCTTGATCCGAGCCACAAGCCCCGGAGGGCCGTGGTGAAACCGTGGAAGCGCCAGTAGGCCTCCCCCTGAGATTCGGAGGCAGCCACGAAGATGGCGGCAGTGAGGTGCATACCTTCTGCCGCGGGAAAACAACACCGCACAGCCACTATCGCCCCGAATCAGATGGACGATGCACCCCAAACAGAACACGCTGCAAACCAGACCCTACTTGTGAGTCTGAGTTTTCGAGGTTTGTGCCTTGGCAGTAGCCCAACTCTGGGTCGTGAGCCGCTTGGCGGACGAGGAGGGATCGGATCCTCTCTATGCGCTTCCTATGAACCGGGTTATATCCGTCGTCACCATCCTCGAGATCGGGAAGGTCCAGGAGCACCTGCTTTTGATGCTCCAAGTCCGACATGGCTCGGAGGATCCGGAGCTTTCGATTGGCCGCTTGGAGCTTTTGGGCCACGCTGGAGCGGCCGGGAGACGAAGGCGACGCTGCCTCCGGAGGTCCCCTCTGAACCTCCGGCTCAGCCGGCTCAGGATTCTCTTCGAGATCTTCGATGCCCACGTCAGGCACCTCTGCCATGTGGGAGCCGCTCCACCAGCTTTCGTACTTGAACAAGTCGATGCTCGAAGTCCCCAGGATCGACTTCTCCAGCTCACAAAGCTTGTCCATAAAGCCAAGATTGGGTGTAACTACCGGTCTCTTCTTGTGAGCCAGCAAGAAAGCATCCTTCAAGGTGAAGCCCAGTTGGCTAACGAGGTATGCGATCACAGTGGAGGCACTTCTCGAAACCCCAGCACGGCAATGCACAAAAACCGGCAGGCCCTTGGAGTGATGTTCATGAATGAACTGCATCGCCTCCGGCCAGAAGTACTCGATGGGCTCGATGGAGACATCTTCCACGTCGACACGGAAATAATGAATCTGCTTATTGAAGTCGTAGCTTGGGAACTCTGTCTCGCGGACACAACAGACCACAGCCCGAATCCCCTGCTCCACAAGGTTTTCGGTCTCGTAGGCTGCAGTTATACCACCGAGATACAAGTTCTCGACTATCTCGTCGACATTGTCCAGTGTAATCGCATGGATGGGCGCCATTCAAGATCTTGGAACATGGAATTACTTCATGTTTCAAGTCCTTCGTTGAAAGATGAGTTGCAATGGGGTCGTGCCTGGTCGCGGCTACCAAAGCTATTCGCTGTAGTTGCGATTGCTTTCAGCTGCTGATGGTGGTTGTCAATATGCAGCGGAAGAAGCAAGACAAGCCAGCTGCAAGAGTAGAAGGCTTTGCCAACGTCGTCGTGGCAATAGGAGGAACACTTCAATAGGAACAATAGCAGCAAGGGAACCTTGGCTTACTCGGTGGGGGGGGGGGGGGGGGGGNNGGCGGCTGGGATGCCAAGTCCTAGCGTGCCTTTCGAACGGGTATACGGTATACACACCTTTGGCCCGGTTTCCTCTCAATCCCCAAGCTGAGATGCGTAAATGCACTCTGTAAGGCTGAGATCACGGCAGGTAAGTGCGCCGTAGGTGGGCTGGGGAAGCTGTACGGTCTGCAACTCCGCCTAGGGTGCAAGGCATCCAGCGCATCGCACTAGACTCAGAGTAAAGATGCAGCAACATCGTGGTAATAACGGTTAATTATGCTCATGATCTTGAAGCGGCTCACGATGCTGATGGCTGATGCGGCCGTTGATGATAATGAATGTTCATGGCGATGGTGACGGTGATGGTGACGGTGATGATGGTGATGATGGTGATGATGGTGATGATGGTGATGATGGTGATGATGGTGATGATGGTGATGATGGTGATGATGATGATGATGATGATGATGGTGATGATGCGGATGATGATGGTGATGATGATGATGATGATGCTGGTGCTGGTGCTGGCGCTGATGTTTGTTGATGATGTTGATGTTGATGTCGTTGATGATAATGATGGTGATGATGATGATGATGATGATGATGATGATGGCGCTGGTGGTGGTGATGATGAAGATGATGATGGTGGTGGTGACGATGAAGTTGGTGGTGGTGGTGGTGGTGGTGGTGGTGGTGGTGGTGGTGGTGGTGGTGGTGGTGGTGGTGGTGGTGGTAATGATGTGATGGTGATGATGATGACAATGATGATGATGATGATGATGATGATGATGATGATGATGATGATGATTTGTCATTCTGATTTCGATGATGATGGTGAAGGTGATGAAGAAAATGGATGATGAAGATGACGAGATGATGATGATGATGATGATGATGATGACGCATCAATACACGGAGGAGGAGCACCTGGATGGAGCTGAGGAACATGACAACGGTAGGGACGATGCTGCTCACGCCATGGCAAGTGTCGCGGCCAGGAAGACCAAACGACACAGCCAAACTCATGTACGAAGGCCCCAACCGCACAGACATGCTCTAAATCCCTGAGCCGCCCCCCGGGTCTGCAACCGCCTTAAGGCTCTGGGGACCTTGCATTCCAGACCTCCTCGGCAGTGGGGAGCTCTGGCGCCTCGCAGAGTCTCCATGAGGTAAGGGAACCCGAAACAGAGACGATGAGCCTTCGCTTGACTCATGGCATGGGGCCTGGGGGGGTGTTCAGGCTGTGATCTAGGCTCCCCCTGTTTCTTTGCTGCTGTTTTTTTTTGTCGGTCCCACCTGACCGCAGCTCCGCCTGCGTAATCGTTCTGCTGTTACACTAGGCTCACTAGACACACCAGACTTTGATCGCACGGGGCGTGACCATTTTGCGGGTGTGAGTGCTCTTGCAATCAGATGCCAGGGTTGGTACTTGGTAGGCTGTACATAATCCCCGTCGTTCGGGTGTGGGTGCTCTGGTAATCATTGTCTTTGCTACGACTCGCATGTTGCTGTCAAGAAACGACCTTTGCCTTTGAAACAGTCGCACTTTTTTAGGAGTTGCAGTGAGATCGAGATGGCATGTCTACGAAAGAAGTGCATCTTTGATGCGCGAGTGACAGCTTACCACACGTGCGAGCATCGCCGCAAATTTGATGACAAGACTTCGTTACTGGACACAGTTGCCGAAAGCAGCCAAAACCATCCCATGACCGTTCAAACAGCACGATCATACTGAGTCCCGAACCTTCAAACGAAAGCTGTGCGGGGTCGTGGACGGGCCTCATGCACAGAATGTTGGGCTACATGGTCTCGGAACAGCAAGCTGCAGCAATGTCTTTTATTTAGGACCGTTCAGAAACAGCCCAGGCATTTTGCCAGCTCCGCAAGCTATGGCTAACCTGTGGCCCGATGTCAGACGTCGGCGACTCGCACGTCCAACGACCTCAAGGCATGGGGAACCACCGGAAACCCCTGCCACTGTAATTCCGCACTGCCTGCGACGAAAATGGCTAGTGCTCGCTGCTTCTCCTGCCGAGGCCGCAGCCGCTGCCCACGGCTGCGCCTGAAGAACTAGTCCTACAGTTTGGTGCTGCTGTTTTGGGACTACGAACACAAGCTCGAGAAGGATTCCCAGCGAATCACGAGCACACAGTGTGCACCGTGGTCTTCTGCGAGATAAGGTACCGGTAGCAAGTAGCGGGCTAAGAAGACTGGGCTGGAACAGAGCTTGCATCCAGGTAGGATACGGGCCTCATGAAGAGGCGTGACAGATACAGCATGCAATGAGTGGTCGGGCTTTGCAAGGGGCTCATAGAGCTTGGCAACCTCCTCCTGCCGTCGGTTACTTCAGGAGTTACATTGTGGAAGGGCCATACAGCTCTCCTACACGATCCAGCTCCCAGGCGTTTATGGCGTCCCGAGGGTCTGGGATGGCGATCGAACTGGAGTTCACAAGACTTTGCTGTACACTGCACAATGAGGCAGGCGCACACATGTCCAAACAGGCCCTCAGACTTCGGGCACTCAGACAGCTGCGGATTCACCGGCTCTCAATCGCTCCATCAATCGCCTGCCATCATTCCAAACAGGCTCCAGGAATGGGCAACCCATGATGCACCGGCACCCATCCATGCAAACGTATGCAGTGGTTGCTTCGACCTCCCAACCATCCGGCGTCGTGACCTTCGAAAGGATCTCTTCCGGCTCCGTGCCTTCCCAAGCGAGGAGATGCAGCAGCTCCGACTTGCTGGGACCCTTCAGGAGGCTTTCCACATGCTTCCAGCTGGAGGAGACCCTGGTTGCCAACTTTCGGTAAATGGGAGGATCCCAGCAAAACTCCCGTAGCGCGACCACGTAATCGAAGTCTGTGCTTAGATACGCCACGCTCGCCTTTACGTTGCCGTCCGCTCCCGGCAAATCAAACTCACCACTCAGATGGAGAATCGCCAGCGGCACTTTCGATCTTGGACGTTGAAAACCGAACCTCCTCCAGCCATGTCGCAGTGTCTCCTCACAGGCTTCGGACACCTTCCAGCCTTCCAGGCCTAAAGCTAGGAGAGCCGGCGACTCGTCTCCTACGATCTCCAAGACACCTGAATAAAGCCTTGGTAGCTGCTGGGACATAGCGTCGGGAAAGCCAAGTCTGCGCCTAGTCAGCTCTAAGCTCTGAGTCCCATCGATAGCTCTGAAGCTCTCTGCCAAGCTCCTTACGACTCGCTTGGAATTCTGCTCCCTGGAAGACTCGGGTTCTGGCACACTCTGTATCTCCATCACATGGTCTACTGAGTTGTAGAGCATCTTGCAGATGTTCCTGCTCCCTCTGGCCCACACAAAGCAAGCGTAGAGGTCCTCATCTCGTGCAAGGAGTTCCTCCAAGGAGATCATCTTCAGGCGCTCAAGGATCCAAAGGCCCTCCCCGGCTTCGAGGCACCGTGGCCACAGCTTCGCCTTCAGGCTCCGGCAGCTGCGCAAGGCTTTCACGGCCGCAGGGCCGCTAAGGAGATGCCCGAGGATGCGCGCGAGCCATACATCATCGAAGCTCTCCATCATGAGATGCTCGGAAACTTGCAACAAAAGGTGCACGAGGCAGTTGAGCCGGGAATGAGTGGCTAGCAGCTCCGAGCATCACATGCAGGGTGTAGCCGCTTAGCCTCTGGGTCCTCACATCTGCATCCCCACCTCACCCGGAGAAGAACTGCAAGACAACATCCAACCCAGCTGCCTTGTTCAGGTGGATCCCCTTCTCCAGGGCATTTGCCCTGGTTGCCGACCCCTCTGAGCCTGAGGGCTGGTGCACGATTTAGGCTTTAGAGCATCGCCACATCTCACACGTGCACTCTCATGCTCTCATAGGTCAGGCTGGAAGGCCAAGCAGCCTTGCCATCGCAGCCAAAGTTGAGTCCCACGAGCTGAGAGAGGACTTTGTTGACAGTGAACGGCAAAAAAACGGCACCAGCTGGCCAAGACTGCCACCCGGCTGTTGGTAGAAGTCTTGCCCGTCTGGTGCGCGAGTTGGCCCCTGGCCAAGGTTCGATCCTCGCGGTTGCCGCGCGCGCACACAGACGAACAAACAAACAAAACAAGGCAAAGGAACGCAAAACAAACAAACGCAAACAAACAAGACAAAACAAAGCAACAAACAAACAAACAAACAAACAAACAAGCAAAGCAAAGCAAAGCAAAGCAAAGCAAAGCAAAACCAAACAACACAAACAATCAAAGAAACAAATATCCCAACACCGCTATTGTCCATCATCGCGACCATTATGTCAGACTAGCTCCGTCGCAACGCCTACCGCCAGGAATTACATAATGCTGGCGCCCTTTCCGGTTTGGTGAACCCGTGCAATGTGAGCCAGCAGAATTCCGTCTTCGGGAGCGACATGCGGTTTCTGCCAAGATCCAGTGTTCGTCCCTTGTCTTCTTTTTGAACGTCTTTACGGGCTGTGTCTCTCCGGAAGCACGTGGAGAGCCGGAGGCGGCTTCCGAGTCTGATCTGCTCCTTCTGCTCCTTCTTGGCACCTTCTCTTCGCCGGGTGGCAGCATCCCGACAGAATCAGCAGGTCCTGGGACGGCAAACGGCAAGACCTTCAGAGCCTTCGAGAAGGAGACTTGTGTAAGCAGGTGTGCGGTTCCCAATCAATTCTACAGCTGCGCTGTTTTTGTGACACGTTCCGGCTGCCCCAATTCAGGCACACAGTACCTTTGGCATCAACTGTGGGGAAACGGTGAAACCGATCGCCGGACCTCAGAGTCCTGGGCGATGTGCGCTAACAAGCTCAGTCGAGAACCTCAGGTGAAGGCTGCCGTTGCTCTTCACTGCACCTCGAAAACTCCCTTGCAAGCTTCCCCACCTTGCCTCATCGACTTGCGCTGAGGTCGTGGAAAGAGGTCACAACCTCAGGCAATTTCAAGTCGAGGCAAGGCCGCAAGCCTGCTGCAACCTGGGGCAGCCACCGCCTTCAAGAAGGGCACGTACTCGACTTTATCGAAATCGCAATCCGGCAACACATAGGACCTGAGCAGCATTGCAGTATCTGCCTCTTGGCAAGGGAGTCGGAAGTGTTTTCGACCTCAGGCTTCCTAAGGCGGTCGCACGCATCGCTGCACGTCCTGCTCAAGCACAGGGCAAGCCGTGTGTAAGCGGCTCAGATCCACTTCTTTCCCAAAGTCCTCCAAGCTGAAGGTCTTGCCGATAGAATCCAGGGCTTGGACAATCTGCTCGCAAGTCACCGTGTTCTCGTGCGTCAGGTGTGCGAACTCCTGGACGCTGGGAGGCAGAGTGCTCAAAGAGCACACCTGAACACCCCTGTAAACGAATATAAAAGCCTAAACGGCAATCATTGGAGCAGCCGAGTTCTGAGCCCAAGCCCCGCCTTGAGGAGGCGCATGAAGTTTGCATTGTGCCTCAGAGGTGCGCGACTGTGACATGTGTTCAAAGAAACGGCTCTTCGCACACAAAACGGGCGCCATAGCTGGGCCAGGGGCTTGTACACCACGTCTCCCATGTTCCGCACTGCAGCGCGAATCTTCTCCCTTTCGCCTTGCTCCTCAAGCTTTGTCCTGCACATGAGATGCTTCACACCTGACCTAACCTACACTCGAGCTGCCCACCTAAACAGACAGGCCCACTTCATGAACTTCCTACTGTTCCTTCTTTATGCGAAGAGGGCATCCAACAAACAGTGTCTGCATGACTCAGGTTACCCGCTGAAGCTCATCAAACTTGTCCTGGCCAGCTCCGGGTAATTCCCAACTTCCTGCAGGGTGCATCAGCTCTCTCACTGGGAGGGAGAGGTCTCCTGCAGCGTGATGCAAAGCCAGCGTCCTGGTTCAGCTTGGGTCGCTGTTTCATCATTACCTCGGAGATCGACATGAGCCGCCGTAACGATCTACTGACTCAAGCGCAACCTTGTTCCTTGCTGCCCGAAGGCATAGGTGTAGTCCTCATCGATGAGGGTATCGCAGAACTCGTTGTAACTGATCTGGCCGTCCTGGAAGTCTTGGCGTTGAGGGGTTGGTTCGGGGGTAACCCCAGGGCTCCTTTCGCGAGTCGAAAGCCTTCATGATGATGAGGGCCTCCTCCTCGGTCACCTGGAAGCCCCACTTCACCAGGGCGTTCTTGAACTCGGTCTTTGTCAGGACCTTGCAGCATCGAAAGATCGCTGAGAGCAGTGGGCTCTTCTGGTCCACTATAGACGTGCTGGGGTAGCCACGCCGTCGTGGTCAGCGTCGAACTTGCGGAAGATGTCGCGGGCCAGTGGGTACTGCTGGCGCATGCCTTCGGAAGGATGCCCACAACACCGACTACAAGTACGGTTTCTGCACCGAACTTCCAGGGACTTCCCTCCCTGCCAGAACTTCCGTCCCTGCCCTGCCTTCCCGCAGCTTCTGCAGGACACCTTCGAGGTCGAAGTGTCTCTTCACCCCGCCCTCCTCCAAGAACTTCCTGCCGAGGCTCGACCCCCTGAAAGAGAAGAGCGGCTGGGGAGGTGAGGCCCGGTGCCTGGTGTAGTCGTCCATGTCCAGGATCTCAAACTCTCCTTGGGAAGATGCTGAGGGAATGGACGGGGGACAACTGCCCGCTGCGACCAAGAGTCGGTTGTAGACCTTGATCACGCTGCCAGGCACGAAATCCTCCACCTCAGCCGAAGAACTGCCCAAAACCTCTGAGACACTCCCGTCCCCTCTCCTACTCTAGCAAAGTCCGAAACCTGCTGCCACGATTGGCAACCACCCACCCTAAGGTACAAGAAATGCCTGGTCCCTGAGCCCTGCGCCTTGAAGAGGGCGCCCGTTTCCTGGAGCGCATGTGCGGCGCGGACAGGGCAAGTAACAATGAATGCACCAGCTAGCTGCTACATGACGACAGCATCATTGTTGCAATGGCGCATTTATGCTTTGAGCTGTTGCTTGCGATCCCCGGTGTGCCTGGTTGAGGTGGATGCTCTTTTCCAGGAATTTGCCGGTGAGGATGCCTGGCACAAAGTCTTGATCCCTGACACTGAAGCTCGTCAGGCCCCTGGCCCCTTGCCTACCTGAAGCTATCAAGAACCGCAAACAAAGCCTCAGGCTGCATCATTTTGAGACCTCCGCACCCTAGCTCCCCAACCTACCAGTAGGCAGGACCAACCCCAGAGAAACGGCCGCCAAGCTGACCCATATTTCGCTGCGGTGGCTCATGGATGGACAAGGTGTCGTCGAAGAGGTGGAAGTTCACGATGAAAAGTCCTGGGAGTTGCTTGTGCGCCCGTGCGGGCCGGGAACGCCCAGTCTACTCGGGCAGGTCGTAAGCTCGATATGTTCAAGGGCGGGTGCAAGGTTGGCGCCGGTTAACCCGCTGCAAGTGACAAACGCGGCTCGAAGCCGTAAAGTCCTTCGCTGGGTCCTACAGACCTAGCTGGATTCTCTGGACCGCGTTGTCGGGTGCATCGCTGAGCACCAACAGGCGGCCGATTCACAAACGGATTGCCAACTCCTTTTGCTGCAACGCTTTCAACCACCAAAAGATCCAGTGCCAATGACTTCTTCTTTGATCTTTTTCCTGGATCTTGTGAGCACTACGGCGGTGAGGCAAAGCATTCCGTGCTGTCATGTACTATCAGTGTCCAAACCGAAGCCGTTGAACCCCGAGACATCTACACCCCAGGCCCCATCGAGATCGTCGAGATGCGGTCGGCATCCTCGGGTTTCGCCTTGTAAAATTGGGCAGTGAAGCGCAGGATGCGGCCCTCGTTTTCGAAGAGCTTCACCAAGTCCTTCCTGAAGTGGGCCCGCACCGGTAGTATAGGGCTTGGTGACCAGTTCGGATTTGCGCAGGGCTCTGGTGATTCTATTGCGAATGCTTTGCAATCACCCCAGTACAAGACTAAAGGCAAAGTGGGAGTTACAGTTACAGTTCAAGCTCCGAGCAAGAGGCTCTCAGGTATCAAGCCTGGACATGTCAGGAATTGCTACTCGCAGCCTGAGTCGCGGCATGCTTGGGAGTGTATTTTTCTGCAATTATGTATGTTACCGTATACAACTTTAAATGACTGTACATAAGTCTGATTATATATGCACGTAAACCTGTATCTACATCTCTATATACCGACATATCTACATTCGTTGTTTAATGTCTTTTCTGTCGCTTCTCTCTCGCTCTCTCTCTCTCTCTCTCCGTCTCTTTCCCTTTTGTCTCAGTCTCTTTCCTCTATCTGTCTACCTACCTATCTCTACGAGGTTGCGAGGCAGCTGGCTATAATTCAATGACATTTATGCGAATTGATGACTACATTGCTTGTTGAGGTGCATGCATATCACACACACACACACACATCGACGCAGCGTCACCAGGGTGCCCGACCCTCTGACAAGTCCCGCGTCCTGAACCTAAACCCTAAAGGCCCTAAAACCAAAACAAAAGCCCAAAGACGAACGAAGATGGAAGACCGAGAGGTGAAGACTGAAACTTCGCGAGTCTCTTGGGAGGCTTCGGCGCAAGGGAGTGCACGGAACCCATGGAATCGTCCCAGGTTCCGTAGCCTGCCGACACTGGGCTAGATTTTATCTAGGATTTCAACACCTTCTTGATGAGGTCTGAGACATCTGGAGGCCCACAGCAACAGTTGCGGCTGACCAGGTTGATTTTTTCCAAAGCGATACAGAAGTCCCTGGGCCCTCTGCTGCACATGCTGCACCTTCATAGAAACAACTTCAATTCAATTGTCTTTCGAACCTTTTGCATTCTATTGAAGGGATCACCGCAGAAATCTTGCCTGTGTATGGCGGCGTCTTTGGCCGGGGAACCGTCCTGTCTGGGAGCCTGACATCCACCGCCTTGCCAGGAGGCTCTGAGACGCTTTTGAGGTTTCAGGGGCCCTGGCCCTGCAACTCCATGCCCAGCTGATCGTGTTGTGCCCCAGAGTCAGGAAAGTTGCGCAAGACTGCAACCCTTGGGTTGTCGAATCCCCGGTCTCAGAACCGGCCGCCTCGGTCAACTTGACGCCAAGCTGCTTCTCATAGTATCGCCTGAACAACACAACTCTTCGAGACCCGAGCAGAAGCAGGCGTCCCGACAGGCCTAGTGAAGTCGTCGGCATCATATATGAAGAAGCCTCGGCAGGCACTTGACCGAAGAGTGGTAGGGATGGATCAAGACGCTCGCCGCGTGCACCCTACGAGTATAAGGCCCTATAAACCCTAAACCCTAAACCCCGCAGGGTGTCGACTCACAGGACCTCCAACGGCAGCCAGGGGTCGTTGCCCCAGAAGCTCCGGAGACTCGCCAATGCTAAAGTCTTCCAGGCCGATCAGCTCATCTTTCCGCTGGAGCCTGAAAGGCGGACAGGCGGCTCAGCAAGTCTGGATTCGGTTCTGCTTCTCCTCTTGCTGTTGCTCAGAAACAAGTAACCAGGGCCCCCCGAAGCCGTGCCTGTCAAGCGGGCCCATCACCTTGGCCTGGCAAGAGTCGCACACGCTTTTCGCTCGTCAGTCACTAGCCGCTGAAACGGACGGGCCTGCCCACGGCCCAACTTTCCTCGCCGAAAGAAGATGGGAAAGGGATCTCGGCCGCAGTTGAGTGGGTATTTCTCCCGGATCTCGACCTTGGGCGTAATTCTGAAGTTGTCCAAAAGGCTGACTCGCTGATTCCGGGCAAGGCACCGTGTCATCTGCGAGGAAATACAAGATCTCGAACGGCCTCTTCATGGCTTGCACAATCAAGTCAAGAAGCTTTTGGTTCTCATCCCCACCTTCGCTCGAACTGCGGCATCTTCACATCGTCAAAGACAGCATAGAAGCGACAGACCTTTCGGTCCCACTCCATGAACCTGGGAAAAAAAAAGAAATCAGATGAGACGCGGTCGAAGGCCCGGCTCTGCCTAAAATTCGATCTTCTACCATTTCTCTCTGGGGCGCTGCTGCATGTTGACGTTGATGTGCCCGCCTCCGATGCTCTGCTCGCGGTAGACCTCACGGACTCTATCCCAAAGACCACAAGAACAAACTCAACGACATGTACGACGAATTCGAGGCCCTCACTGTCTCGTAGGATCGGGGCTGATGCACCTTTGGCCGTCCTGGGAGAGCCCGGGAGATGCCCTTTCCGGCTTTGCAAAGACAAGGATGGAGTTCCGACCGACTGCCTCGTAGCACGCATGATTCACATGGAATGCCTTTACAGTTACAGAGGCTGGCCGTGATTCAGGGATTGCACAGCTGTGTCGACAAGGCGTTCCTAGCCATCCCGGTCCTCCGCCGCCGATCTCAAACTGTGTCTCCGCGAAGGCGTCTACCGCGGGCTCCAGACTCGCATCCTGCTTGTGTGGCGATTGCCGCCGGGTTTACTGGCAAAAACAAGCTGACTTCCAGACTGCGCAGCTGCTTGGGACTTTGGAAACAGACTCTCCAGCAAGGAGCGGAAGAGGTGCTGTGCGGTCCTGCTCCATGCCCATCTGCGTGTAGTACTTGCGAGTCCACTCGTCGCAATCCAAGATCTGGCAGAGCTGCACTTTACCACAGTCAGCCAACAACACCCACGAGGACATGCAGAAACGCACTTGTTCAATCATGAGAATGCACCATGCGCCAGACATACAGACGAACAAGTACACGTGCATCAATGAATGCATGCCTGCCTGCATCAATGAGTGCGCAGTACGCAGGTAGATGACTGGTAGATGTTAGAAGTATCTGCGCATAAGGCATTACGGTACAGGTATGTGTATGGGCGCATGTATAAGAGGGTGCTGGAATTGTGCATCTCCAACATGGCATCGGACGTCTCTGTGGTGCCTGGATCACACGGCCGTAGACGTAGAGCTCACCTGTGCGGTGTTCAAAGCCCTTCTTTCATGGTGTTCTAAAAAGATGGTACTAGCGAAGCTATCGCATTGCTGACGTGCGCTGTGGAGCATCTAGCGTGCCGGCATTTTCGATATTCGCTGACGCGTTCACTGACGCACCACTGCTGCAGACCGAACCCCAGCTGCCGCGGGCCAACCAGTCTTAACGTTTAGATAAACTCCCACAGGGGGTTTAGAACACCGCACACCTCGGTGTTCGATGCCACCAAACTACCACCACCATGATGGTGATTAGTGTAGTTCTGCTTAGCTGGGGGGAACCAAAACGATCAAGGTTACGCTCATGAAGAAGCACGTGATGGAGATGATGAAGAGACAAAACTTTAGCAATCATCAACAACAACACCGCCACCACCTCCTCCACATCATGATCATCACCATCATCACCGTCATCATCATCATCATCATCATCATCACCATCATCATCATCATCATCATCATCATCTGTATCGTCACTGTGGTCATCATCCTCATCCTCATCATCACCAGCGATAGCAGCAGATCAACACCCGCCATCTCAGTCATGAATACAATGATCATTATCGGATCACCATCGCTGTACATCTCAGTACCATCATGGCCATTGCTCCGAATGTGCTGCACAGTGAGCACTCATTGCATGTGAAGGAGAAGCCTCCAACTCGAAGGTCTTGCCAAGAGAGGTAGCCCTCTGGACCCGGGAAGCGGTGGCGGCGAAGGAGCTGCCCTCAAAGACAAATTCCATGCATTTAGCGAAGTGAACATCGAGTGATCGAACCTCAGCTGGCCTTGCATGATTCCGCTGTTTTCCACCTTCCGCTCCGTGATGTGGCACGTGTCATCCTGCAGTCCCAAATCCAGCTACCATGCTCCACGTCAAAATGTCACACGGCAGGGCAGCGTCCTCCAAGTAGTACATGATGACGCACTGTCGCACCCTGAGGAATGAGAAGCAGATGGGCATTCGGAGGACAAGATGCCAGAGCCAGCGCCAGAGCAAGGGAGAGCGAGAGAGCGAGAGACAGAGAGAGATTCGACAACGGGCTTCTGTGTGCAGCTGGATGGGGGTTTCACTGAGCAAAGCTTCTCTGAGCTTCCGTCCTGTAGTTTTCGAGGTTGGTCTCCACCACCGACTCTTGAAACTGGCCATAGAAGCGCAGCACGTGCCTTGCGGCAGTGCAGTTGGCAGCAAAGTGGCTCAGCGACTAGCCGGACGGGACCTGTCTAGCACATCCCAAGCGGGAGCTTCTGTCTCAGATGCTTGGACATGATCCTTGCAGAGCTTTGGGACTGGTGGCTCAGGGAGGGCTTGCAAGCAGGTCCTTGTAATCTGCGTCCGTTGTGGTCTGCCCCATAGAGCCTGGGCGCGACGAAGCCAAGGCCAAGGCACCAGGGCCTTTTTTTGCCCAAGAGGACTGAGGCCGCGGCCCAGCCTTTTCGGCTCCAGGCTGAGAGGGACCTTTACGAACTTCGGCTTGTCGAAGGTCATGCCTGGCACTGAAAGCCCAAGCCTTTCATCACTTACTGTACCCCTCCGACTTTCACGCGGCCGTGGATTGAGATCAGGTATATACAGCACCACCCTTGCTAGGTCTGCAACATCACCACAACCCTTCCGTAGACCAGAGAGTATCCCCAGTGGGGCCTTCGGACTGCTCGATCCGGACGCCATTCACTAAGCTGAACGTATGACATCTGCCGTGGTTCTTCTTCTTCGTTTTCACCTCAGGTATGCCAAACAGTCCGGTAGCGAGACTGCCAGAGCACACCCTGCACTTTCCACGGTGAGGCTAACACGGTAGCGACTAGACAAAAACTGATTCTGAGCGAACGGCTGTGAAACCCGGTAGGTTTGGAATGGCCGAAACATCAAGCCTCGGTTCTGTCTCCCTATCCTCACTTGCCTCTCACCTCCCAATCTGGGTCTGCAGCTGCAATGGATCTATCGACTGCACCGAGTCCATGGTTTCCTCCATGGCGGCCACGGCACGCCGGGCCTGCACGGAAAAACCAGAAACTCCAGCACACTCGCCCTTGCTCAGCCTCGAGCCGAGTGCCAGGCCCTAGTGAACTGTGCGGGGTGGCCTGCTGCTTCTATGTTTGTTTTCACACCGGCCCGACAGAAGTCTCGTCTCGCGGCCTCCAAAGCGGCTCCAATTCCCCCCCACTCTAAGCTTTGACCCAACAGGGCTGTGATTTTTTCGAGCCGAGGTGAAACCCAAGAGGCATGCGTTCGGTGAAGGTGCACGCAATCCAAACCAAAGTGGTGACAATGTGGGAGCTCGCCAGACCTAGACCGAAACTGGGATCTCTTGGGGCAGCACTTGCGCAGATCGCCGGATGCTTGCCTCAGAGCTCTGATGCGTGCTCACTCTGCAATACAGGTTGGTGCTCAAGCCCCAGCCATCCTAGCATGTCCTAACCATCCTCAGCTGGAGACTCTGACAGTTCAGGGTGTAGGAAACGGTGCGCACAATCACCTGCCGGCTGCAAAAAAAAGGGGAAGACTGAGCAACCGTGAAGGAACGGGCTCAAGACCTCCGCTGCCATACGTCGCATCGCCCCATCGTTGCCTCGGAGCTCAATGCAAGGAGCTCTCTCTTGCTCCAATCTGTGACTTGCAAACTTCCGCCCAAAGACCCGAGGTCCAGGCTCAGCCGATCTTGGCCAAGGACGCCCAGTGCCAAGTCGGGCTTAGACAGTGCCGAAGTTCCAGGTTCGCAGTAGCGCCGAAGGCTCTGAGGTTCTCACCAAACCGAGGTTAAAGAGCTCCGGGGCGGTCTTCGGATCGTCCGTCAGCTTTCGTAGCACCTGGCTCGAGTCGAGTCCCCGGCGAAAAAAGGCACAGAGGCAGGCTGGGAGCTCTTTTTTGCGCTTGCATGGCCACGCCGTGCCATCAGAGCGTCAGAGCTTCCCAGCCAAGCCCACGAGTCGGGGCAGAATCTGGCTGATGGATCCACGGAGGACCACATCTGCCAGTTCATCCAGCGCCGTGGCTTCGGCGTTCAGAATGATGACTGTGGCCTTGGAGCTGGGACACACAGAATTGTCGGAGAATCGGTCCAAAGCCAAGCTGCCCCTGCTGCCTTGGCAATCGGCACCATGTTGGCGACCTCGGGCGCAGGCTCGTGCTCAGCGCCGAAGCTCTGGAAGCGATCAGCCCAGGCCCTCGCGGGATAGACGCTGAGCGTGCTCCCCACGGCCAGCAGCACATCGCACTGCTTCGCGGCCGCCTGCGATCACCTTCCCCGCCCTCGCTTGTTCCGCTGAACGACTCAGCCGACTCAGCCGACCTCCGCTCGCCGGATGTCCCCAGGAACGAGGCTCTGCCCGAAGGAAATGTTGGCCTCGGCGCAAGAAGGGAAGCCATTGACACGCCTGCTTCTGATAGAGACAAGAAGATCTTTTGATGAAGACGGCGTCACCGTCTTCAAGATCGAACCGCACTTCGGACAGCACGGGGGTGCATTATCAGCTTCGGCAGGGCTGCATTCGCAGCCGCCAGCGTCCTATGTAAAAACTGCTTTGGTGTCTTGCCCGAGGAGATGGCTTCGCTTTGGCTGAGAAGTCCAAGACTGGGGACTGTATACTGTGCCATACTATTCTGTGCTTTGCCATACGAGTACTAGACCACACTACACTATACAACACTGCGCTACACTGTACTGACTATACTCCACTGTAGTATAATCCCTTCCACCTCGCCAGGTATGAGAGACGATTCAAGATTCAAGTCAGAGCACAACACCTAACTCCATGCCCACTACAGCGCTGCCTTGCGCTGATTGCGGTGCACCAGCTCCAGTTCTATTCAAAGTTCTTCAAAATTAATTGCCCGATGGCCTCTGCCGTTCCCACCGAATCCGAAACTATCTTGTTGGAACTTCAATGCTGGATGCCATGGACCAATGCAGCATCTGTCGTCTGACTGGAGACTTCGAAAGGCTTGTGACCAGTTTGGCCCAAACCCATATGTCTGGCAAGGCTCGCTATCGCTGTGGTGGCGACTGACATGATGCCGCGCTCTTCAGAAATGCTTGCGACACACCTCAGCCAACAAACAGCTCCGATGATGCCAGCCAGCCGAACTACTAGTACCAGCCGAGGCCAATCTGACCACAAGGCATCTACCGAGCTGTGCCGCCCAAGCTGCAGTCAAGAGCTCGATGCACAAGATGCAAAAGGCTGAGCATATCTTCTCTACCTTGAACCTTGAAGCTGATTGGCAGTCAGGGCGCATTGTCACAAGCGGCCAAGTAGTCCCCAAGTGGCATCACGTCAGAGCTTCCCAGCCAAGCCCACGAGTCGGGGCAGAATCTGGCCGATGGATCCACGGAGGACCACATCTGCCAGTTCATCCAGCGCCGTGGCTTCGGCGTTCAGAATGATGACTGTGGCCTTGGAGCTGGGACACACAGAATTGTCGGAGAATCGGTCCAAAGCCAAGCTGCCCCTGCTGCCTTGGCAATCGGCACCATGTTGGCGACCTCGGGCGCAGGCTTGCGCTCGCCGAAGCTCTGGAAGCGATCAGCCCAGGCCCTCACGGGATAGACGCTCAGCGTGCTCCCCACGGCCAGCAGCACATCGCACTGCTTCGCGGCCGCCTGCGATCGCCCTACCCGCCCTCGACGGGACAGCCGACTCAGCCGACCTCCGCTCGCCGGATGTCCCCAGGAACCAGGCTCTGCCCGAAGGAAATGTTGGCCTCGGCGCAAGAAGGGAAGCCATTGACACGCTTCTGATAGAGAAAAGAAGATCTTTTCATGAAGACGGCGGCGGCACCGTCTTCAAGATCGAACCGCACTTCGGACAGCGCGGATCCGTCTCCCCACCATCCACCCGCTGAAGGAGATCGTGGGAATAGCACCAGAAGTCACAATGCCCTTCAACCTGCAGGGACTCCATGCCTGAAGTGCTGTGGCTGCGCAGGAAATCCGCCTGGCCTTCTCCCGACGAGGCATTGAGGAGAAGTCGAGCCACTCATCCATTCGTCGTCGCATGCAGTTCCTTTGCCGACAATCGAACCGGAATCGGCTTGTGCCACTCTGAGCTCCGGGTACCACCGAGAGGGAGCGAGGTATAGAAGCCCAGGAGCACATGCCGACGGCTGCCATGGATCGTAACCAGCGAATCCGCTGGCAGCCCGGCCTGCTCCTGCAGTCCTTCCGTGTTCTGAGTAACACACAGGTGGAGCTTGCCCTGCTGGTGGAGCTCCACAACCTCGGTTGTTACAGTGTCGTTGGAGGGATCATGTGAGAGAGGATCTATAGAGCGCTTCCCTTTGATGGACATTCTCCGCGCGACTGCTTCATGGCCCGGGTTTGGCACAAGCTCGTCCAGCCGCCAACTCTTCAGCCACTGCCAGCCTTTGACCTGTCCGATCACCGCACCCATCAGATCAGGCTTGCCACCAAAAAGGCTCGTTCCCTTACTGATGCCGAGAGACCCGAATGTCAGGCTCGTTCAACCATGCATCCAGGTCCACCAGCCGCTGCATGCTCGGGTCCTCTAGGCACTAGGCAGCCCTGGGTTACAAGGCATCACGGCACTCCTCCGAAGATCCTTCGTCCATACACCGGAGGGGCCACGGAAATCCGGCACCCCGGAGTCCGTGGAGATGCCAGCACCCGTCAGGACGACCACGCGCCGCGCCCTTGCAATCTGGCCCTGTGCCTGCGCCAGGAGGGCCTGTGCCGAGGCGAGGCCAGGACAGAACAGAAAGCTCGGAAACTACTGAAGATGATGTTCGCTTCAAGACCTGTAGGAACCCTCGAACAGACAGTATCCATGCAGCCGCCCTGTGAAACACTGTGGTTGCTCCAGTTCTAGCTTTGGCTTCTTACCTCTCAGATTGGGACATCCGGCACCCCTGTGCCAACAACTGTCTGAAGAAAGGCAAGCTTCGTTCTTGTCTTTGTCGGCTACTTCCGCTGAACTATATCATCCTTGCAGAAGCCTGGTCCACTAAACTTTGCTGCTGGCACGGCGGGTGCCGGTGCTTTTCCTAGTCGCAGAGGTTTTATGATAGAAGCCCCGAATCTACAATCCTGAATCTGAAACCCTGAACAGCCAGAAACCCCCAAACTCCCAAACCCGAAACTCCAAGCCCCCCCTTCCGAAAGAAACATGAATCATGAGACAAACAACAATGACAGTGGTGATAAGAACAAGAAGAAGCAGCAGAAGTTACTGAGAATGTGCCTCAGGATCGGACAGCTCGGTAGCCGCCGATCGTCCCATGAAGCGAAGTTGCAGGCTCCTGGGATGTATTTGAGCGAGTTCGGGGTTGAAGGGCTTTGGGTTTGGAGCTTTGGGTGCAGGGCTTTGGGGCCTTGTGTATGAAGCTTCGAGGGGCTCGGAAGTCGGAGCGTAGGATCTGGGGCTCGGGAGGGCTTCAGGGGTTTGGTTTAGGGTTCCGGCAGCAGACTGACAGGTTCGACCCCGGATGGATGCAGTTGCTGCTTTTCCTCCATGCTGGCAGCGGCCAAGAACGGGCCATGAAAAAAGCACTTGCCCTAGCGCGAGCCATGCTTCAACACTACACTCGCACACTGTCTTGTGGTTTTAATTATGATGTGCTCAGGAAACCCTGGTACTTGGAAACGGGAAGGGTCGTTGCATCCGAAGCAGTCCCTCGACGTACCCTTGCTCGGGCGAGACTCCTTCTTCGTCCCCAGGCCAAACAGCCTGCCACCAAGGCACTGGCCACACCTGTCGACACGGATCGGGACGATCGTGAGGATCAGGAAGAACATCAAGCAATTCAAGCGGTAACCACAAGACTAGCATAGCTGCATTAACTCGCACGATCAATCACGACAAATGTGATTAAAACCAACCGTTTCAGCAACGTCAGCACGTAATATGCAATTGCCACTGCCACGGTCCGTCACTGCCAACACAACCGCTTGGTGCTGGCATCACCACGGCCACAACCTTTGCCACCAGCAACAGAACAACAACAACAAATAGATAACGAATCCTATCCGTGATTATAGCGGAACTGCTTGATCAAGCACCGGAAATATCATCAAATTATCGGATGTCAGGTTAGCCACTGGAAGATTTGGTATTTAGGCGAAGCCCATGCTGGCTCGAAGCATGTCCCGTTGGCGGATGTAGCGCTGACTTGAGTTCATGTTGTAACCACACGCAGGAGTAGCTTCGGCTCTCGCTGCATGCTGCGAAGATGTGACGGCTCGCAGCTGTTAGGCCTATGTTGGCCTATATAATCGAACTCAGAATGCGAATCAGAGATCAGTCGGCTCTTCCGGTCATCAATGTCCACACTACCGGCATGGCATGCGGCGGAGTCTGTTCCAACACGCGGCCCCACCCATGCCATCAAAATTGCTTGGCTCCTGGAAGAAGTTGCACGAAGTAACGTGGTCGTTCAGCTCCTCCGTGCGCGCGCTGTCTTCCATTGCCTGAATGCTGCTACCATATATCTGCTCCCCCGTGAAGCGCAGTGAGCGGCCTCCCATCATCGCACTGAATATGTTCTCACTGCCCCATTTCTCCTTGGCATCCTCCTTTTCGAAAGCATAGCGAAGGTGCTTTGATGCAACGTCCAAGAACCTGTCCCACTGCCAATCGCACGGGACGGCGCCGACCTCCTGGGCCTGCTTGCAAAAAACCCAGAAGTCACCCACAATCTCGTCGTTGGAGGCATCGCCGTTGTAGAGGCCGTGAAGGTTGCCCCCACCCCACGCATAGTCGTCATCCACTCGCATGCGGTAGCAGTCCACGAGCCATTCGTACCTCTCCGCCTCGGACAAGCCTGTTGCCCAAGCGGATGCACTCGATGCACTCTGACCAGAGTCACCAAAGGGACAAGTATCGCCCAGGCCCTGCGAGAACATGGTCTTCTGGAAGTTTCGTTCGAAGGTGTTCTTGGGCCCTTGGCTGTGGCACGCAGCTGGCTCAAGTAGCTTTTTGTTGCCGAGATTGCCACGCCCTCCTCCCGCTGCAGTCTCAAGCACTCCTCTGTCGGGAACACTACGTGGCACTACAGCGAAGCATGTGCGACACTCTCGTGCTTAAAAGACTTCTGCGGAACACGAGGTGCCTGTGAGAGATGTGAACCCTGAAAGCTCCTCTAAGTCTTCGATGGCATCCTCCAGCCTATTCGGGAAGTCTTGAAAGCTTAGGCTTTCCAAGGCCTTGGCGCGGCGGAACAAGGCCTTGTAATTGCGGGCATCAAAGCCGATGGCATCCGTGGCGGCTTGGTGCGCACATAAATAGTCCTTCTGGGCTAAGTGGACCTGGGCCAAATTCGAAGCGATCTTGCTCGCTTCGTCGCGATGTGCAAGGGCCTGCGGGTGGCCAAGAAGCTTCAACGCTTCGTTGTACTTCTCCACGGCCTGCTCGGATCGTCCACCGGCAAAGTGGCCGTTGCCCTCTGTTTTCAGCTGGACAACCTTCTCAAAGATCTCAGATGTCACCCGTATGGTAGGCAATGACCTCTGGGCAGACTTCTTGCAGGCAAGCTGCATGAGTTCGAGGGTGGCTGGCTCCCAGTTTACATCCCCGAAGAAGAAGATACGGCCACCGCCCTCCCTGAGGTAGAACCAGGGTGCGAGTCGCTTCCGGCCATCATGGGCACTATGGACTGCGTTCGATTCTCAGCAGTGGTGCACCACAACTTCTCCTTCTCGGGGATGTCGTGCATCATATTGCTCTTCACAGAAAACTGTTCCAGCTTGATCGCTTCTGGGAAAATCTCTTTGCCAGCGGCTGTTTGCGAGTGTACTGCCCGAAAGTAAGCGAAGCCGTCCCACTGCGTGCCGAAATACCTGTTTGTCTTCTCGTAGATCGAGGTGTTGCTGGCATGAAGAATCACTGTGCCACCCTGTTCGTAGAATCGCACCAAGTCCTGGCAGAACACGTCCCAGTACATGTCCTCGCAGAAGTCATCGTTGAGGAGGATGGTATGGTACCTGCCTGTGAGGATCTTCGTCTTCAAAGCTCTCGCCATCAACATGAGGTCCTCCTCTTGCTGCACGACATCAACGTTGCTCTCGGGGAAGATCCTCCACGAGCTGGTGTCGAGAGCATTGAGCATGAAGGCTTCGCCGTAGCAAACTAGCAGGCGGTCTGAAGCCATGGCCCTGCAGATTGAAATCTTCTCTGTTTAAAAGATTCCGTGGGGGAGGTACCTGGAAAGAAATTGCCATCAGAATATCCTTTCGGATGATCTCCTCATGCTTTATGCAAAGACGTCTTGCAGGACTTTGAGCTCAATGCAGCAGCGCACGTGAACGCCTGTGTTGCAACGAAGTCAGATGACCCTGACACTGTGAACAGGAATACGTGATAGGTTGTTGATCGCCCTTGTCGCTTTGTTGACAGGCTTGTAACATAGGCGTGGGATGCCACGAGAAACCGCGACGCGACACTTCAGTTTCGGAGCACGCTGGAAAGCTGCAGAATGCCGGGACTTGCAATCCGAACCTAACCTGGTGTGGCTCAGGATGACAAGAAGCTGCTGCTGCGGCAGCATAACTGATCTGCAATGCCACCACATTTTCAATTCAAGGCACTCTCTCGGTGCAAACATCAGATTACAACCATCAGAGCGGGGAGGCTGAGAACAAGAAAGCTGCGACGGCCTTCAACTACCAGAGGGCTGGCGCAGCCACTGTGGCGCCGCGGTGCTGCCCTGACCGCAGGCCCGGGATGGCGCAGCGCCCTGGCAGGAAGGGCAGAGGCAGAGGGCGGCAGCGGGTGGCTCCGCCTCCCTGCCTGGAAGGCAGACTCGATCGCGACGGGCAGCAAAGCGCACAGCGCGAGCCAGGTGGCCAGCTGCAGCTGTCACTTAGCCAAGCCATCGACAGATGTAAATCGACTTCCAGCCCACTTTAAAGCTGATTCCGCTGCTTCTGGTAAAGGACCTCTCAAGACAGTTGGCTGCGAAACTCCAAATGTTCACGACTCTCACTTCATCTATGGTTCTCACTTTACCACCTTGCGAGATTGTCGGCGTCTTGGAGCCTCCCAAAACCCTGGCTCAGAGCCGCAACTGCTGCAACATGCTGCAACACTGTCCCCTTAGGCTCAGCCAAGCTGACCACTGGGCTCTTTCTCAACGCAAAATCGAAAGCGAGCGGAGTCGGTAATGAGTGGAGGCTTCAAAGAGCAACACACGGCAGCACCTTGAGAAGAGCGAAGATCACAGGCTCAGGCCCCGAGCTCAGCAAAGCTCGGAGGCTCTCCTGGGCCACATCCTACCGTACCCGCTAAGTACCGCTTTAAGTCATTTCACCACCGCAGTCCACGTCTAACTGATAATGCCGAGGTTCGCAGGCCAGCCTGCACAAGACCTGACAGAAGACGGACCGAAGAGCAGGTGCCACGCCCGCCCATGCACGCTTCTGCAGCTGGAGCTTGCCTGTGGCTTCTCCGGGAAGAAGGGCAGGCACAGGCAGGACACCTGAAGCAGATTCAGGATTGCGCTCTTGTCTTGGATCTTGGTCCCACACCGACCGTTTCTTGTCCTTTCTCGTCATATGTGATGACATGCGAATGGGCATGGAGAACGGTGCTGAAAAGCGCGGAAACTGTGTCCTTCTCTGCCCCCTTGGTTTTACCCGCCGGGCCTCTGCGAAGCCATGCACCAGTGCCCTGAGATCGAGGGCTCATTTCCGTCTTACTACAGTACTCCGGTGTCGGGGACATGGAGGCACTACAGCTCGACCATGCCCCATCACTTTTCACCAGCTGTTGAATTGGATGCGATCGGAATGACCCGGAGACAGGGAAGATAGCCACACGGCCTTGTCGGTTCTCCAGGCCCTGAACCCTAAACCCTGGTTCTGCACTGCCACCACTGTCTCTGGGGCCCCGCGCGCCCGGAGGGATAGGTCTGTGGCGGCCCCACATCGCTGCCAGGAGCTCAGGGCCTCAGAGGGCAGAGGGCTTTAGTAGCCTTCAGGGCTGTGGTTGCACTGAGAGCGGCGAAGGCAACCTTCAGGGCTGTAGTAGGTTCTAGAGTCTAGCGTGACTGAGACAAAGTGAGTGAAAGAGAGAGAGAGAGAGAGAGAGAGAGACAGAGTGAGTCGAAGTGGGAGTGGGAGCGGAAATTCCTGGAGAGGATTGGGAGTGAAAGTGAGGATGAGAGTAAGACTGAGAGGAGTGGAGAGGGAGTGGGAGTGAGCCCACTGCTCCTGGAAATACTGGTTCATGTGGCGATCATTCGTGATGCGCGGTTCTTGCAAATGCTTGTCCATGGCCTGGCGTTG